TGTTTTTGCAGATTCCAACAGGTTTCCCATTGTGACTAACGGAGCAAGGCTTTCTTCTTTGTGCAGCTACTTTCTGTATATAAAGAGATGATCTTACTATGCAACTAGGTAAACCATCCTTAACACTGGCCTTCCCAATTAGTTGCAACCATTTCTCTGGTCAGTGCTTATTAATATGCCTATCATTTTTTTTTTTTTTTTAAATAGAAAAAGTGTGCGGCACCACTAACCTGCCATTCAAAATTATTGTCAGTTAAGAGAAGGCTGGTAGTAAACTAGATCCAAAAACCAAGTTCCAGAACTAGATCCAAAAACCTCATCTACCTTCATATTGCATTTGTTAGATTACAGAGTGATAAAACTGTCTGGTCAGGTCAGTGGCAAAGTACTCCAAGTCCTCCCTGATACAACGTCAAAAAAAAAGTCACTGAAGTTTTAAAATGGGGAATGTTTACTCTTCTGAACATTATTCTTTGTGAAATGCTACCGATTGCCCAAGGGAGAGTTGTTCAAAAAGCCCTAGACCTCCCAGATGTTTCCATGGTACATACTTGTGGGATTTTCTTTTTAAATTAAAGAAAGAAAAAAAGACAGAAAAAGATTTATGCACTTGTAAAGAATGTTCCACATTACCGACAAGCCATTTGAAGTGCTATTTGTCACCATTATGGATATTGGAAGCATGCTGCATTTAGCCTACTAAATATGGGAATTATACGGAAGCATTAAAGATATTTTAGATCTTGCAATTCGTTGACCTTGGGCAGACTCCTTGTCTCTGGCTGTTGAAGTACTATACTCAGTGAACCTTCTCGTGGAGCTTGGCAGGACTGCTTCTGTGCGTGAGGGATCAAGTGCTGGATCAGGCGCTTAAACAGTCAGGCTCTTTTGTGCCCGTTAACTATTTGCTCACTGAAACAGTACACCGTGACTATGCTGAGATAGGTTCTTAACCCAAAAGCTACTTTTTCTTCCCACCGCACAGTAATAACTGCACCATGTCTCTGTTTGCAAGCTCTCTTTTCCAGTCAGAGGTACAATAGTGCGTAGGCTGTATTGCCAATGCACCCAAAAGTACTTCCCACTGAAATGTGCCTACATACTTCCTCCAAGACATCAGGCAGAGGTTCCACAGAGATCTCATTCCACGCACTTTTTCAGCTTTTGTTTGAAAATGAGCTCCTTCCTACTTTTTTTCCTCCCTTTCCCAGAGTCCTTCCACCCTGAAGTTAGTTTGATCAGGCTGCTGCTGTACATTTTACCAAGTTTCCTTTGATAAGCCACATGGTTTTGCTCTGTAGTTATGAAAGAAGCAGTTTAAAACAGACCTCGATTTCTCACTTCATTTAATTATCTTTTCTTTATATTCTCCTCCGGTTGTGAGTCCTATTAATTGCAGATTGGCTAAATCTGGCTGACTAAGTGCAAATACTGCAGTCAGACAAGGGCTGTGTTGGTAGACAATAGACTTTGTTATTTTACAAAGCTTAAAAATTCTGACGCTTGCGTTTGGAAATTAATAAAGCTTCCTTGGCTTAAACCCCTGGCTGCATGTGACTGGAACATGCAGACAGGACACAGAGGATTCGCTGGTGTCCACAAAACGCAGAACTAAGATACAGAGTCCCCACTGCCATGTTAGCAGAGCACTCGACATAGTAATGGGCATTTACTCCCATGTCATAAATTGGAAACTGAGGCAGAGGTGATGTCAAGCTACTTGCAGACAGGCTCTCAATGAAGCCCGAGACCATGCTTCCTTTGGCAGGGCTGTGGAGGAGGTACTCGCACTACCCAGGGAAGGCTTGGACTGAAGGACCCCAGGGTTTAAGAGTCTCTGTTCATCGGCTCTGCCCTCGTTCCCCTGGGTAGCTGAGCCGTGACAGCCCAGCTGTGCCCAGAGCCCTTCACTCCTGCTGTAGATTTATCCCCGCATGTTTAAGCTGGAAAACTGAAGCACTCCATATGCCCCCGGGGACATAAGCAGCCAAATCCTCAGCTGCTGTAAATCAGCAACACTCCATCAAAAATCAATGCACTGAGCTAGTGTTGCAACGCCTGCTGCTATCCCTGTTGCTGCACCGTTTCTGTTTCAGGTGAGGTCAATGGTTGTCGCACTGTGACTTGCACGCCACCGGTGCCTGGTGGAAGCTGGCAGGCCACCACGCGCCGGTTCCGTCTCCGGCTGCTCAGTGACGCTAGATGCAGCTTAAAAAGATACATCCCAATATATGCACCTTCCCCACTGCCAACTGCTGCGGGTTGTACCGGGGGTGTCCAGATAGGAAGGGAGGAGGTCCAGAAAGCCAGACTACAGAAGGGAGGCAACCCATCAGATCAACCTGATGAAAACAATGACAGGTTGTCACTTACTGAAGCATTAACTTTCCAGCACTAGCCAGCTTCCTTGATGTAACCTTCCCATCCTATCCAGAGCCTCTCCCCAGGACAGACATCATTCACACACAAATTGTTCTGCCGCAGCCCGGCCAAGGGCGTAGCCAGGAAACGTTCCAAGAAGAGGGGAGGAGGAGAGGAGAAGGCTTCCAATCTCTGCCCGATTATACTCAGTCTGGGACAAACATATGTCCAGCATCTGTCCCCTGCTGGCTGACATTTGCAGACTCCCTCAACCTCCTGTGGAAACTAGACATTCTCGCAGCATCTGGCCCCTAAATCAACAAGGATAAATATGGAGATGAGGTCGTCAGATAAGAGCAGCTGAGCTGGCTGCAAAACCCCATATGCAACTGCAAGGGAGAGCGGCAGGGAGCAGAGGAGAGGGGAGAAGCTCCTTTAGAAAGGAAAGACAGACTCCAGGAGCATTCAAACGTTGAGAATGTAGTGACATCCTCCCTGTCTCCTACATTTTATGTCCGAGGGCTGGTATGGCTGGGATCCCTTCTAGCACACCTGTCTAGTGCTTTCTCCTGTGAGAGAGACAAGGATCCCTCTCTCTTTCCTACCCTAAAATCTGCTTGCTTCACCTTCCATTTTCCTCTTCACCTTCTCTCATAAATAATACCCTTACTTGCCGTACACGTACATTATTCTCTCCTCTACCTGTTCTCCCATTGATGCATGGACCTGTCACTGAGCAGCTTAGCTGGATGCAATTCCTCCTGCTTTGAGGTGTTGGGGTGTTCCAGCACGACGCTCCCCTGCGAGGTGTTGGATGCCACCAAGCGGCGTCAACTGGGCCAACCTCTGCAGTGGCTCACAGCCTTGGTTTCTGTGTTTCTAGCACTTGCAGGAGTTACTATGGAGACCTGCACTTTTGTCTCTGGATTGGAGCTGCCAAATTCCAAAAGGTGTTTCTGCTGGAATGGAATCTGAAATTATACTGTTCAAACAACTTTCAGGGTGCCATGCACGCAACGTGATAACAAATCCTCCTTCAGCTCCTTGACAAGTACTGGTAAATATATCATTTCTGCCTCCGTCATCTCCCAATTTACTTCTTTTATCAGAAGTAGTGACAAAAAAGGTTCTAATTAGATAACACTAATCAGGTAGAACTGCCTTTGATTGACGACTGAGAAGTCACTATCTGTTCTCTGCAAAACAAAACAGATTGGCTATTTTCCTTGTAGAAGCAGGAGATTTATCAATAGACAAAAGGATGCAAAAAGCCAATAGATAAAGTGTAATTACAGATCAGGGCTATACATTTTACTCTGACAAATCTAAAAGGATTAGTGGGTGGTAAAAAGCTTTTTGGGGCAAACCAGTGATATTACTCACCAAGGAAAAACAGAATTGTCACTAAAATAAATTAAGAAAATTATCACATGCAGATAAGTTTAATAAACTTCAGGACAGATTAGAAAATATCCAACAACTCAAGGAAAGAGTTTTGACATATCTGACAGACTAATTCCAATAGTGTTTTATTTATCTCCTTGTAGCATTCTCCTTTAATAGGCGGCAATGAATATTCTCAATGTTTTTTAGTAATGCAAACAAAATAAACATGCCAAGTACCACTTAATTTGCAGTTTTTATGTAGGATAGCAGATATCAGTAGACCATCCATTTTAACATACAGAATAATCCTGAATTTGTTTCCTTTTACCCTCAGTGTTTACTGTTCCGTGAAGTTTAATAAAGTTACTTTAAACTACAGTAGAGAAATAAAAATTTCTCCAAATAAGAGAGGCCTGGAAGCTTCTTGACTTGCAACTACCAGAGAACTGAAAGTTTTTATGGGATTCTTACAGTTACTTTGATTAATCAGATCACAAAACCAGTCTGAGCAATGAGGTTCCCCTTAGAGACTAGTCCTCCCGGGCCAAAAGGACAAACAACAAAACATCCATCGGTCCCTCCCTGATCTGCATCATGCGCCACCTGTTGTGACACCGCATCAGTAGATCTCATCATCACCATTATGCAAAATGATAACAATAAATACAGGCAAAACAGTAACGGGGGAGGATGTTGAAACTTGTATTCTGGTACCTATAGCAGCAAATAACAGGCTGGGAAATTATTAGGTATGAGGGAAGACAAGGGAAAGCAATAAAGGGTGGAAAGATTATGCAGATACTAAGGAAACAGCTGGCTTGGGAACGTGGTGCTTGAGAGGGAAGGGATTTTCTGACCAGGATTGGGGAGCATGGTGGAAAAAAAAAGAAACAATGCAAGTGCAATCTGAAAGAAGGCAGAAGTGGTGACAAGCCCACTTAGAAGGCATGACGCTCATCAATCCCATCTTGTAGAGAGCAAGTAGAAAATGCACTGGCTTTTAAAACAACACCTGAGCACCTGCTGTGAAAACACTGGTGTTTCATGCAAAAAGCAAGCACCAGGACAGGGCACCCAAGCTACTGCATTTGCATGGACGAGTCAGTGGAAGAGAACACAGTTGCAAAAAACTTCCTGAACACGCAGGCTCCATGTCAGGATCCCGAGCAGTAAGCAGCAGCAGAATTCAACATTTGTCCCTTCAAACACGTTACCTCTCACATCTCATCCCCGTCTGGCAGGACTCAACTCACCTGAGTACGCCCAGTAAGGGTCCCCCGATGCTTTACGGCGCCGTATTTGCACAGAGCTCCCATGCCTGCTTTCATGCAGCGAGCTGACATAACCTTCAGTCAGAGCTGGAAGGAGAAGAGAACAGCAGCAATTAGGAAAACGGCATTTGCTCCCTAGATGTTAAAATCTTCGAGACAGTTATTTGCCAAGCAGAGACAAACAGCATGGTGCTGTTTAAGAAACAGGCACAGAGAAATGCTTTGTACCCTGGCGAGTGCACAATATATGAAGGAGAGGCACTAGCAGGACCACAGCCTCATCTGGAAGACATGCCCCTAGCACCCAGCACCTCAGTGGAACAGTTCAGGATCAGGCCATCAGCACAGACTCCAACCCAGGGCATTTAACAAGACCCTTTCTAGCTCGCTACACCCAGAGTCAAAGTGCACCTTTTTTTTTTTTTT